AAAAAAGTCCTTATACACACCAGAAATCGAATCAGTAATCTTCTCAATAAGCGAATTCAACCCAGGTATCTTCTCAATCGTCTTCTCAATCTTCTTCATAACTTACACATCCAACACTGACATCAGTCTTTCCTCCCTTCCTCTCACCCCAAAGTAAAAAACTCACCAGAATCCCTGAACGTCAACACCTGCCAAAGCACCGAATGGAGCTCCTGCGGACTCATCTCCTCGGGCCTCTTGCCTCCCTGCCCTTGCCCTCCCCAATCCGCGCCCCCACCCTGGCCCGTGGCCCGGATACGCTCGACAGCCTCCATCTCCCTCGACAGCTCTCCGCCTCCTCCGCCGGGGATGCTGAAGAACAGATCACGGAGGACAGCGCCGGGGTCCATAGCGCGTGAGCTAGAGGAGGAAGAGGAGCGAGATTTAGCGCTGTCGATGGACTTGTTGAGGTCCGTTACGGATGCTTGGGAGAGGTGGTCGCCGGCCTCTGTTGTGTGTGATTTAATCAAATCGTCAGTTGGTAGTCAAGATGGAGGAGAAGAGGAAAGGAGCAAGTCACGCACCGCCAAGGAGCGAGTGAAAGAAATCGTTAGACCCGAATGTACCTATGTGAAGCAGAAGAAGACGCGTCAGGAGTCCGTGGGCTTGTACGGAAGTGGGGAGGGAGGGGGGGAATTACCGGTGACGATCGGCGCGACCCACTGTCCATTCGGCGCCTGTACGCGGACCTGGTCTCCAACATGCAGAAACACATCGCGATGCCCCATCGTGACGAGCGTGATCTCGCACCAGTTCGAGTGGGCCGTGAAGTCTTCGAGGGTGTGCAGCTATTCCACGAATTCATATTGCTTTCAATTCAACATGGAATGCCAAGGACACTCACGAGTGTGCCGAGGAGCCTGTACGCCTCGTATTCGTCCTCCTTGCGGCCCTGCGCGCGGTGCTGGCGCCCGAGGTGTATACAGCGCTCGAGGAGACGCCGGACGAGCGATTTAGATGTGTCCCAGCCGCCTTGTTCTGTTTCATGACAGACGGTCAGAGGTGAGCGCATAGAGTGGCATAGACCGACGACGACGCGTACCGTTGGCGATGTAGTTCTTCATTCCAGTGCGGGGGTCTACTTCCAGCTCGCGGGGCTAAAGTAAAAAAAGGGATTCAATCAGTCGGGGAAGTTGGAGAAAGTAGGACTGACGTCGACGGGGGGCCGGAGGGCAGGATGGTATCTACGCGGGTCTTCGCCTTCGCCGTACCCCTTTGGATTGTCAATGTGCTCGACCTTTGAGAAAAGTCGACATCAATTTGGAAAAGATCGATTGGAACTGAAATTATGTGGCACAGACTGGGAGGTAGACACCGATGCGCTCCTGCGTGACTTCGAACTCGTGTGTCGCGTATCCGTGGGCCTGGCGGGGGTGTCCGCTTTCAGGAGGTAAGTATAGGGTAAGGAGAGGTACGGACCATGAAGCCGAGGACCATGAGGAGGTTCATGATGGTCTGTTACAACAACTTGGATTGATGCGAATGTATGCGACAAGATGACGAACGCACCTGGATCGGCATCTTTTTCAACGACGCAATATCTATCGCCTGTAAGCATGTATATATATACAAGTAAGTGCGGGATCTGTCAGTGTAAGTATCAAGATGAACGTGCCTGGCTGTAATCGCGTAACCAGTTTCTATTGAAGTTAAAAAGTTAAAGATGATACTGAAGAAGATTATGATGATCATCTCACCCGAAATAAACCCGCTTGACGTCTAGACCGTTAAACTTGCGACCGCCCGAAATCATAGATGCGAGCGCTGCGATGCCGCCTCCGCCCTTGACCAGTTCAGACAGTGTATCTTCCTGGCAGACAGAGTGACTTCGCGCTCCACCATCGCTGCTGAACTGCCACTCACAATGTCGCCGTGTCTGAACGCCCGACCCTCCATGTACGCGAATCTACATATGCACATGAGCTCGATCGCTGTGCAAGACGATTTGTATCGACTGACGAAGGGATGTTGCCTGCTCCGAAAGCGTATACGCCATTTCCAGAGAGACAGAATGCAAATACGACGAGGAAAAGCAGGATATGTGTGTTGGTGGGCATCGTCATGAAACAAGAATGATGTTGTGTCCCGAATTCCGAATGGAGCCACATGGGCATAGATGGAGTGCGTGGTTTTTCTCGGGGATTTCGCGACAAAAAAACATGGAAATTGGACTCGACAAGAGCTGATTGAATTGACGATCACTGACAGGCAGCAGAGCGGGCGATGGGCGATAAAGAGAGACTTGGATATAGGGATGGGCTTTGTTGTTCGGCTGTTCGGCAATTAGCGGGAGTCTCGATTTGGAATATTTTTTTGTTGTTGTTGTGCGTCTTGCCCATCCCCAACTTCGCTCTCGCTGCGGTTATTGCTGTCTCTGTGCTGTATTTCTCTAGACTTTTCACGCCTCATTTAATTCATGTAAGTCCTCATCAGTGTCTGCCCCGTTTTGATGGCTAAAAGTCTCTTTTTAGCATGACGAATTCCACTACCTCCACGCCCGTCGTTCCTTCTGAAGTCGGTTGGCAGTTTGTTCCTCAATATTATACCTTTGTCAACAAGCAGCCCGACCGCCTACACTGTTTCTACACAAAAGCCTCCACCTTTATCCATGGCACTGAGGGCGAGGATGGTAAGCCATGCTACGGTCAACAGGTGAGCCCCAAGTCTTCTGCTCTGTGGCGGCATCGTCTTTTCCCCGCAATGCACCCCTGAAAATGGTCATTTTCTGTGGGATTGCATGGTTGTCTTTTCCCGTTGCCCCAGCGCTTTCTGCCTGTCGCCCACTGTCCGTCTTACTAATGCACTTTGGGCAGGAAATCCACAACAAGATCACCTCCATCGGCTTCCAGGACTGCAAAGTCTTCATCCACTCTGTCGATGCTCAATCTTCTGCAAACGGCGGCATCATAATCCAGGTCATCGGCGAAATGTCCAACCACGGCGATCCCTGGCGCAAGTTTGTGCAGACATTCTTCCTGGCCGAGCAACCAAACGGCTATTTCGTCCTCAACGACATCTTCCGATTCCTCAAGGAGGAGACCGTTGAGAGTGATGAGGACCCTGACGCCGCCGAGGCTGATGCTGCCGTCCCTGCTGCTGCCGCCGCTGCCGAGCCGCCGGCCGAGGCTGCCATCGCCGCGGCACCCGCCCCCGCCGCCGAGGCGTTCGAGGCAGCCCAACCTGCCTCTCCTCCTCCCGTGGCTCCCTCTCCCCCTCCCGCAGCCGCCGCCGCTGCCGAAGAGGCACCCACCACGGACGTCCCCGAGCCCGCACCGGCCGCCCAGACTCCCGCCCCCGAGCCTGCACCGACACCCGCAGCGCAGCCCAACGGCATCCACACCCCCGCCCCGGAGCCCGAGAAGGCCGCTGTGCCCGCTGCTGCTGCTGCTGCTGCCCCTACGCCCGCTCCTGCCCCCGAACCCGTGTCCACCCCTGCTGCGCCCGCTCCTGCACCTGCTGCCGCCCCCGCACCTGCCCCCGCGCCTGCTGCTGCTGTCCCAACCCCTTCCAAGCCCGCGACGCCCGCGCCGGCCCCTGCTCCTGCCGCTCCAAAAACATGGGCCTCGCTCGCCGCGTCCAATTCGAACAGGTGGGGCGCCAACGTCGCTCAGGAGTCCCGCGGCGTGACCGAGAGTCCTGCCGCCGCTATTGCCCCCGCCGCCTCCCCCGCGTCTGCTCAACAGCCTGTTCCCAGGCAACCCCAGCAACAGCAACAGCATCAACACCAGCATCAACACCAGCATCAACACCAGCACCAGCACCATCAGCAACCTACCTACGGACCCGTCGCCGCCGCGAGCATCACCACCGCGCACTGCTTCGTCAAGGTTCGTCTCCTCCCACTCTCATCTATCCATATTCATACTAACTCCAAACCAAGGGCGTCATCGAACCCATCTCCCAAACTATCCTAACCAACGCCCTAACGAGCCGTTTCGGCCCCATCAAAGAGATCGAAATCGTCCGCACGAAAGCCTGTGCTTTCCTCGAATTCCAGTCTATCGACTCTGCGCGCCGCGCTATCAGCGCGTCGCCCATCTACATCGATATCGGCGGCGACGTCGGGCAGCTGCGCATCTCTGTCGAGACGAAGAAAGAGCGCGGGGACAGGCCGCCCAGCCGCCCGCGCGGTGGGGCGCCCGTCAATGGTGGCGGACCCGAGGGCGGCAGGGGCGGGTACCAGAGACGCGGGGCGCCTAGAGGGCGTGGGGGCCCCACCGGGAAGTAAGCGGATGTTGGTAAAAAAACATTAAAATGTGGTGGTGATGAGCGGTAGAAGGGGTGATCTAGTGGAGGTGTTGTTGATGTTGTTGGGTTTCGTCGTCGTTATTCTCGTTGTTTGTTGTTTCTAGTTCTTCCCCCTCGTTTCATGTATTTGATGACCTTTTATGCTGTGCCCGCTCCCTTTTTTTTACATCAATTCTCTCTTTCTTTCATTTTTCATTTTCCCGACTCCCTGTTCTTTTTTTATGGTCTTTGTCGCGGCTTCTGGTGTTCTGCTCCGCGTCGAATGGTTTCGGTAACCCCACATTTAAATTAACTTTCTCCTCTTTCCTTTTCTTTCTTCCTCCCCCCTGTTTTTGTTTGATGACTTTCGTCGCGCTGCCTTACTGGCTTCTGCTCGTTACAGAATTACAGAAAAGGAAAAAGAAAGGAAAGGTTTTTTTTTTCTGTTTTGGCAGGCTTGGGACTGTTCAGGTGTTGGTGGTGTTCTCCAGAAATATCTAGCATTGCCATGTGTTATGAACTGTCTTGGTAGCATGTATGCATTTACGCGATAGTGTCTCCATCTTGTAACTCAATAATATTCATAATCGCCTTCAGTCACGGTCGGTCTGAGATCATGTATTCTGTACTTCATGTTCCTCGAATGTAGAGGATTCTTATGTTGATAAGAGTATTGGGCTCATAGAACGGCAAACAATCGCATCCTCAGTATTTTCTTCCAACTAAATATTTAATCCCTCTTAGCTCAGTGGTAGAGCGCGTCACTAGTATGGCAGTGGGGAGAGATTGCCAGCTATGACGAGGTCAGTCGTTCAAGTCGGCTAGAGGGAATGTACATATCGAATGAATATTTTTATATGCCAAGACCGTGACTTTGTTTCCCTTTTCAACCAGCTCAAGAAGCTGAACTATCCGTTTACCATATCAAAGGATGGTAAGTTGGCATCACACACTCTCAGTTCCTTACAGACTATATTTACATTAGGTGTATGCTGTACAACACAATGATCCTTCACATGTCCAGCCTCCAGTGGAAGATGACCTTGACTCCGTGCTACGAACTTCCCTGTGGCCCCACGATCCCGAATTTCGCCAATTAGCCTGCCGAAGAATTGCTTGGTAGGACTCAGAACGCATCCGATCGTGGCTATTGGAAAAGGGTTACACTTTGTACCTTCGATATCCTTCGGAAACAGATTATGCAGCTCCAATGCATCCGCTCAGCGCAGAACTCCACGAGAGTGTATTTCCCTATGCTAGTCATGAAGGACCAGAACCTGACGACGAATCCACAACTCTTTATGGAAACACTAGTCCCAGTGCGTATGTGGCAGTTCGAGCAAAATCACGCTTATGCCCTCTTCAGGGTACGATTGCTTTTGCGCAGAACGCTCAAGGACAGCACGTGACTATCAAGGCAGTCTTAGACGGGAGCGAAGAGTTTCGTATTCTTCAATACCTTCATGGTCAAGGAGTGCCTATCTCAAAGGACAATTTTCATCATGCTATACCAGTTCTGGACGTCCTTCCCTGCGAAGGTCACTGGCTGGCCGTTATGCCTAGGTATGCCTTGATTGATCCAATTATCGAGCTCATTCAATGACTCGGGAACTAGGTAGGTGGGGCATTTTTCCGCTCTTACCCAGTTGTGAGAGCTTGGAGGAAGTCTTTCACTTTATTCATTGCCTTTTGAAGGTTCTTCTTTTCTATCCTGGTCAAATGGATTCTCACCCATTGTGCAGGGATTGACTTATCTCCACGAGCATCGCATCACTCATGGTGTGCGTTTTTATACGACAAGGAACTTGGACATTGTTCTGAACTTCTTATCATCGATCATTGCAGCATATCAAAACAGACAATATACTCGTCAATCACGTCCACATGGATAACTTTGATTTCTGGAACACCTGTCGTCAGTCTCTACGTTCCCAAGGTGAATTGACGTACGCTTTATATGATTTTGACGGTTCCACAATGTTTCCGCCTTCAATGTCTCTCGACGAATGTCGTCTTCCAAGCTCTGTTTCCTACAACACCCTATATGATCAGGTCCCAGGGGATACATTGCAGGGAGAGCTCGACTTTAATCCTTTCGCCTTTGACGTCGGAATGCTAGGTGTCATGTTCTGCCAAGAGTTCCAGGCAAGTCGGTCTGTATCTACATACCTATCCATCTGCTTATTGACGCCTCCATCCCTTATCTCATAGCGTATAACGCACATGGTTCCGATGTTGGCACCCCTGTTCGACCGAATGACGACTCGCAACATTGCACGGCGATTTAAGGCTTCAGAAGCTCTGCAATTCTTCGAAGAACAGGTTATTCCCTTGACTCCCAAGCACGTACTATCTTTAGCAACAGAACCACGTGGGAAGTATGGCGCATATGACTACTACGATCGCTGGAAGTACCTTGATCCAGACTTTGTGGAAAAATGGGCAGCTTACCGCGAGCCTCCTGTTCCACTCCACATTCGTTATCTTCGGGAACTCTGTCTATATCCGTGGGTCTTCCGTATAGTCAGTCCTATACGCCACGTTGCTCGGTTTCTTCACAATAGATGGACTTATCTAGTTCGCATACTATCTTGGAAATGATGCCTTGTAATGTGGTTCAAATAAATGACACGTTTGAAATCTGAACTTGGTATTCTACTCTGCTTATCCATTTGCTGCTTCTTGTGTACTACGACATCCATTGCTTAATATAAGGTGACAGAATCGACTAGAAGGACTTTATGAGACTAGTGTACACATCTTTCTTGCTTTTTATTTTTGGGATAATCACTTGGGTCATCATGTCGTCGCTCATACTACGAAGGATGTAAGGTTCCACCGTGTTCACATACTAGCATCGTCTATCGAAATATCAGAAGATAAACACGTCCTGTCCAGCCCGTTTAGGCTAGTCTCACATCTTCAAGTTGCTGATACGATACCCATACCAATCAGATAAGATCTTATCTCTGTCCCCTGGCTTAAGTTTTGGAAAAGTATAATGGTATGTATTTTATAGAGAACTCAAATTTGAAGAGAACTATTTTTGAGGATTGCCTAGTATGAAATATGATGGTGGATCAATCGTAGTGCCACGAAGAACTATATACATAAACGAAACGAATGTATGTACAAAAGAAAAAAAGTCATCGCACGATGTCTAGTTCCCTCTAGCCGACTTGAACGACTGACCTCGTCATGAGGATGAGGATATTTGATACTAGTGACGCGCTCTACCACTGAGCTAAGAGGGAATACGCCAAAACTGTGGAAAGCATGGAATAGCGACGGACGAGTTCACTGGGATATAAACTTGAGGCTTGCTAAGCCGACCGCCTATCTTCCAACGCCAACGCTTCCTTCGGATATCGCGGCATGTGCACGATACCCCCTGCTTCACAATCTCCTTCCGATACCGACGTTGCGTGCGCTTGCTCTTATTCGCAACGTCCGGTCCCTTCTGGTATTTCTTCGGACGATTCGACGTTCCTGCTTTCCATCAACCATCGCATCATGAACAAAGTCTCTCGATGCGTAAACCTCTAAGGTTGTGACAACGAACCTTGATCCTCCTTCTTCAGCTCTCTCCGAATCCTTCTCTTCAACCTCGGAGGAACCCACTCCTCATTACACGGATCGTCGCCCAACTCGACAAGCATCTTGATCATTCTGTATTGAAACTCTTCACTGTTCATTGCCGCATTCCACTGGCGTTCACCCTCCGAATCATCGTCCTCAGTCTCCTCCCAAAACGCGTCATCTGACGCGTCCTGCTGGATCTCCTTCTCGTAATCGAGATTTGACGCGTCGTGGAACGCGTTCGGAGGCTCCCAGACTTCTATCTCTTGAACTTCCTCGTGATTCGCGTCAGGCCTTCAGGTCCTGGTGTTTGTAACCCCTCATCGTTTGGAAACGGCTCTGTGTCTGGCGCTGCCTCTCTCCCTTTCTGGTTTCGAAGGCCAGAGATGTTGCGGTAACGCTTTGCCTTGGGCCATACCGAGTTGATGACAGGAGTTTGTTCATATTTACCCAATCAGATCGACCCCGAAAATTCGCCACTAAGTATGGTGGTGTGGTAATTGGTATCAATGTAAGGGTCACTATCAGGTTGCAAAGTTAATTGTGCACCAATAACAAATTGACCTAACCTGGTCCTTGGACCGAAAAACAAAATTATACTATACTCATTCTATAGTGCTATTCCCGCTAGCCGGATTGAACGACTGACCTCATCATGATCTCGTCTTGGATACGAGTGATGCGCTCTACCACTGAGCTAAGAGGGAATGACGATCGAAATGCGATAGCGTCCTTCTCGAGAATGAGGTTACCTATGAGGACAACTGCACGACTGTGTTGTAACATTTCAGCAGTTATAAGCGAAATTTACACGTTCCGAAGATTACAGGTCAATCGGGCGATGTCCTGTCTAGCTAGCACCAGTTTTTTCTTTTTTCATTCAATTTCACACCGAGCGTCCGCACCACTGCGTACACAAGAAGTGACCGTTCCCCTCTACGAGACAAATGTTTGGACGTGACAAACTCCAGGATTCTGATTAAATTCCGTTACACGTCTTGCTTATCAAGAGTGCCAGAGAAATTAGTGATAGTAGTATCTTTCCGGCGAGTTTTCTAGGTGAGTAAATTCCCTAGCTGGCCCCAAAACACTGAATGACAGCTGCATGATTGAATGCAATGCGACATTTCCAGCCGGCGCCAACTTGAACGCGTGGAGTCTGTATACCTCGTACTCCTAGCCGGCTTCTTTATACGCAAAGCACGAAAATGAATTCTCCTCAATTTCAGCGAACCTTCTTGGCTCTCCGACCCGTAGGAGCCCTCCTGGTGCGCAACTGACGTTCGTCCTTCGCACGAGCCGCAAGTTCGAACACCCGATCATCGTCATCATCATCGTTGTCCACATTCTCGACATGCGTATGCTCAAATGAATAGGGGAGCGGGACCTCATGTGTCACGCGGTATTGATCCATGTTGCCAAGGTGCTCGTTCTCCAGACGATCTGGAAGAAAGTTAGCAAGGGAATATCGGGAACCAATGATTGGTCTCACAGAAATTCCACTGCCATCTCCGAAAAACTTCCAGCAAGGCACCAATGAATGTACGAAGATGTATACTGGGACCATTGTATGGGATGTAGATGACCCAAATGAAGCGGATCAGGATGTTCGTTATCTGTCAGCATTCAGACTGCAACCCAAGTCGAGTCGTAGAGTGTTCACTCACGATGGCAAAATAGTATAACTATGAACGACGAAAATGGGAAATGAGCGGTGACATAGGGAGAAAGGTTGGCGAGAGCGTACAGGTATTGATTCGGAGAAACCCTGCGCGAAGTCGTGTTCTAGCACGTTTTCTATCTCCTCGACCTTGTACATGCTGTCAATGAACCAAAATCTGTCGACAGGCGACAGGACATACAGAAGCGAACAGCGTAGAGACTCTCCATATCGACCATCATCTCGTGTACGTTTTTCCCAGATGCAAAGGAGGCCCTTTCTACCTGTGGACACAATTCAGTCAGGAGAGGCTGCTTGACTATCTGGTGTTATACCTTCTCAAACATGTATTGCCGCTGCGCTTTTATCTAAACCAAGTCAGTGATCTGAAAGGTAGCAAAAATCAAGAGGAATTCAACTTTAGTAGTCTTCTCGAATTTCTTCAAAGCTTTTCGAAAGCCCGTCAAATTCAAAATCTGCACTGTCGGTGAGCTTTACGACATAGGACGACAAGAGCAAGCACAAACACGGTAATTCTGCAATACTTCTAAACCTCTGTAGAAGATAGTCAGCATCGAAACGCGAGTACATTCGAAGCGATACTTGCCGATAATGTTCTAAGACTGCTTTTTTAAGCTTCTTCTTCGCGAATAGGTAGTCCTCCGGGTCAGTTGAGAGCCCCGTATGCCGGACAGGCGAATGCTGCTTCTCCTTCCCAACCGTTCGCTCTATATCTGCATCTACGCTCCCCTCTCGCCGTGTTTTCTCCTTTTCAAGAGAAGCCGATTCGTACCTTTGGTGCCTCTGATGAAAGGAATTATTGTATGAATTCCTATATCATGGGGCAGGACCAACCAAGTTGCAAGTAAACTGGTTGCTGACATTAGGGACCACCGCAGGCAGCGTGTGTTTCATTCGTAGCTGCTTTTGGATATTGACAAGGAAAGCAGTCCAAGTTGAAGGATAATGAGAATGCGTGGACTTGGTGCTGAAATTAGATAAAAGTGCTTTCATGCAACACGAGAAAGATGTATGTACCTTGACCAACTCTTTGTGGCCCTCAAGTTCATCCAGCTGCTCGTGCAACGCCCTCGTATGTGCCATCATCTCCGTCTCTCGTGTAGAGTAGAAAGAATCAATCTTATCGAGCTGATCGTCCAGCGCAGTAAAGAAAGCCTTCTCGACAGAATCTAGCTGGAGAAGCAACTCGTTCAACGGGAGATGCTCCATGGGGTTTATCGTTGACCGATTAGCGCTGTCTGTCAAAGAAGGATGAGGGAGATGAGAGTGGAAGGATAGGCATAACAAATACACGGACGGCGAATGGAAATAGACAGTGACGTTGCCCGTCCTCTTGCGCTTGTGAACGACCCAGGATATAAAAGCCTATTTCCTGTAGCAAAATGATTCCCGGCTGCTGGCATTATTTTTGACGAAGTAGGACCAGAGGAATCCAAGGCGCGGTGATCAGAGGAGACCGCGTGTTGGGGTGAAGGTCTGAGCGTTCGGCTTTCGTCTCTTGGGTTTGTATCGAAAGACTTTTGCAACGCGGCCTCAAGGGATACTAATGGACTTTCAGGTTCCTCCCTCGAGCCCTCAACGTTCCCTCCATCTTCAAGACCTGATGCCCTCCTAAACCTCGTCACAAATGAAAATCTGCGAGCTTGGGGCACCGTTTCATGTGGCAAAGACTCTACGGGGGCTTGTTCCGAGGGCGATTCCGCCGAAAGTCCCCGATGTGGTGATCCATCGGTCGTCTGAGGGCTCGCTCCAAGAGCTGCACCATGGAGAACCGTATCCCCTCCCTCTTCAGAACCTGATGAATCTGCAAGACCCTCATGAGCTTTCCGAATGACTGTGATGCACTTCTTGAGTCCACGATAGTCACTGTAGATATATATATTGTCTCAGCCGCCGCTGCCTCAACAAGATGACACTCACATATAGGCCTTTTTCCACTCGGGAGTCTACATCGAACCATAAATACGTCAACGATGCTCAAGCCATTGCTCCATTCGCAAAGTGTCCATACCTGGGTATCGTCAAGATATCTATGGTTGGAGCTCTTCAGTGGATATCTAATTGTCCATCAAATTTACTCACCTAGCGAACTTCATGACCGCTGAATAAAGATGCTGAAAAGCTCGAGAAAAATCAGAGGAGAAATGTAAGAAAACTGGAGGCTAGCCCATGCAGGATTCATATAAGTATGTAAATGAATATGGTCGGCGTCATCGACCGCCTATTTTTTTCAGGGCTCAACCGACGTCACATTTTGCCAAAATTAATAGTAAATCTTCAAACTCCGACGTATTCACATGTACATCCCTCCCCCGCGCCCTCATCAGAAAATTGCAGCAAGAAAATTCAACTTCTCGAGCTCGGAAAGACAAAGATTATCGGTCCGAAAAACCAGGATATTCCCCCGTTTTCGTTCGTCATCCCAGTGTACTTATCTATGTAGCTCAGTTGAACGCGAGCCTTCGGAAATTGCACCTATGAGAGAACATTAAACGCCGAGAACCGACTACATACACACAGGTAATAATAACGAGACTCAGATTTCCGTGTTGGCAAGGGCAGCGGCTGAGGGAAGATATTCCGAGATATGCTATTCAAATGTTTATGAATGCAGAAGGTAATGT